CTTGCCAGCCCGCTCAGAGATGTGTATAAGAGACAGGTTGTATTTTAAGTAAAAAAATAGTTTTAATTGAATAAAATATAAATAAATTTTTTTTGGTAGTAAAAAATTTGAGTTTTTTTGCATCCAAACAAAACTTCAATATGCCTCAAGCAATGACTAAAGCGCAAATGATCCTCGGAATATTTCTACTTTAAACAATAGAGTACAAACATAATTCACGTAGTGGGGAAAAACTGCCAAATTCATTTGTTCTTAAATGCCCATCAGTTGAAAATTTTGTAGGTGCGAATTCGCACTGAGGTGTCTTTTACGGGTTAAAATGGACAGATTTTTTTATATTATTATATGTTGAATTCTGTCTTGTAATACTTTATTTTGTATTTTCTGCATTAAAAACCAAAATATATGTATCATTAATAAATTAACTTGGAAAGTTTTTTATACACCCAAAAAAGTACCAAAAGGAACAAGATTATTATGGATATAAGTTTGCAATTCAATATTTTTTATTTTGTTTAAATAATACATACAGACGCATTAAAAATTGAGATTAAAATACTATAATCGATAAAATAAAGTAATACTGAATTGCACTATAATTACAATTACCATTCATGATTAATTTAATAACATTTTGTATTCCATATCCTTTTCTTAGTCTTTATTTTTATAGCAGTTCATGCGAGTTTATAAAAATATCGGATTTTAAAATATTTGTTAAAATAACTCATCTTTTCGCTCTTGGGCAATTTTTATAGCAATAACTTTGTGATTATATTTTATATGATAAAAACCGATAAATCACCAACGGTAATATTATAATTAGAGATTCAAGAAACTAATATCAAATTTTAATATGCACTAGCAATCTTTGTTTTTTTATCCTCATTGAATTTTAATTTAAATAATAATATGCGAATATTAAAATAAATAACATTATATATAATAATAAATAAATACTTATATACAATTTCAATACAATCTCAATTTACAATGCATTGTCTGGCACAGGATTTAAATAGAGTATAGACGATCACAACCAAGCACAATAAAAATTACAAAAGATTTGAATAGTTTGTTTCCTAAACTGTAAATATAATTATAGAGTTTTATAAATATGTCCATTATTCCTTAGTTATCTAATTTATCGCATCAATTATTTAATACAATCGATATGTGATTTATTTCTTCGGAACTTCTTATCGGCATTTTATACCAAATCTTAAAACAACTTTAATCTTTCAAATAGCGTATACTATCAAAATTATTTTAATTGATTGATTTAATTTATTGCTAATTTTTCTCCAGTTATCCAATATAATTAAAATACAGCTTATCCCTTCTTTACAAAATACGAAAAAAATTATCTAAATCTTTGTAGGATAAGGGATATTATAATATTTCTATATCAATCTCTTTTTTTATCTATTCTTATTCTTCTTTTTCTTCTTTATTTCATTTTAACTGTTTCCAGCCTAAATAAATTACACTCCAGGACAATCGTCAATAGACGGAATGTCAATATGCAGTTTGGATGGTTTCTGAGAAGAGCGATCTTGATGGATGAGAAAACCTGTGCTGTCGGCTTGAGGGAGCATGTTGAGCACGATCGGAGCACTCTTCGGCTCGCTAGGGATTTTCCTCAGGCTTCCATCTGTGGTACAACCAGTACCAGATGGTCAGACAAAGATAATAATGAACAATATGTGAAACTAAAGAATTAGAATTAGCAACAGGCTGGAATTTGCTTAGGGTTTGTTCTAACAATAAGCGTTAATATGCCAGCTGACAATTTAGCACATTTAATAACCCTTACAATCATGACATTTGGAAGCTTTAAACAAGAAAATTAATAACATGTAATAATATTAATTTTTTCACCCGCAGGATTAGTTTTTTTTCCATCAAAACTAAATAGATTTGAAAACATCTATATGTATGTACATGTGCGTGTGTATGTATATGTGTGTGTGTGTGACAAAATAAGATTTGAAATCTGATTATGGATAGATTCATTAAGTCCAAAGATTTAAATTTGACTATCAGTTTTAAGGAAATACAAATTCTTCGATATTAATTTCTAGAGATAATTATAAACAAACAATGCGTTACATCAATTTATAACATTATAACGCTGAACAAATCAAATTATCAAATAAAATATAGAAAAATTCTCATATGTAAAACAAATATATTGATTGTTGGATACATATGTTTGATTAATTATAAAGAGACAGGTATTGATTGTAACATAAATAGATATAAATGTAGATAAGATTTGTTGTTATCAGTATTTTATATCTCGATAATGGAGAATTTGATCTATATTGATGTAATATTTTGGAAGAAATAAACCCTAGAATTCGTTAATGAAATATTTGCACGTCCTCTTAAATATGCCGTTGTACTAACTCTTGGTTTTAACTCTAATATGAATATAATTTTATAAAATTTTTTATAAAACTAATTTTTCAGCATTTTATGCAACAAATCAACAATTGAATAATTACAATTGTAGGAAATGTAAATATTTTTAAATAAATTCGAAGAAATTGAAATGAATTTAGTGTTATTTTGCGTATACTTTGTGTTTATTTAATAAACCAAGAGTTTAGAAAATCATTTAGATAGTTTATATGAAAAACTACATGATTACATACCAGTTCCATGACGAAGATCATCTTGCGCCTTATAAAATTCTTCAAGCTCTTTGCCAGAGCATAACGGAGTGTCAACCTGAGTAGTACTGTTAAACAGTGAATAGTCTACTTCGTAACCTTGTCGTTCCTTTGAATAGTTTACCATGGGATCGAAACGATGACCCCATAGAATCTCCTGCGGAAGATAACTGGACCTAGCCTGAGTGGTTTGTCCAGTAGATTCAATAGTACCTTCTAAGATTAGAACAATTTCGAAACGTTCAGTTAACATATCTTCGGCTGACATATTAAAAAAGGGCGAGGACTCATTGATCCGATGGATAATAGTGGCTGGCCAGATGAAGAATAGATTGCCGTTTTCACCGTCGGTACCTACCACCAGTTCGTGCTGGTGTTGAGATAGAATTTCACCCTCTTTGGTCGTCTTACTGCGAATCATTTGTGCGCGTACACTCGCGCCAATTATATGACTTTTTCTCATATCGCCCACTCGAAACATGAGACAAAGCTCACCATCTCGTTGACAAATTACGGCATTTCGTGAAAATAATAAAGTCTGGGTACGTTGTTTTGGCCTGGTCATTTTAGCGAATACAATGCCCACCTGTAATTAATTGTTTTTAATAATTAAATTTAATTTTTCACAATCCGACATTTTATGTGCAAAAACTGTACATTCTTCGAATAGAGTGCGATCAAAATCTCCATTTTGAAGCTTTTAACTAACTAATAAAAAAAAGAATTTTAGTATTTAATTGACCAATCAAATAATATAAATGCTTGGAAGTATTTGCAGTAGTTAGTTAACAATCATACTCACCATGAAAGCTTGAATCATGACACCAGCAATACTCTGAAGACACATAATAAATATGGCCTCGGGGCATTCTTCAGACGTAGAGCGACTACCATATCCAATGGTATGCTGGGTTTCAATACTAAAGAGAAAACAACTGGTAAAACTGAAAATATTGTAAACACACGGCGTCCAATTGTTCTCCACTTGAAAAGGTGGCAAATGGTGCTCTTCAAAGTCACCGTGGGTGAAGGCTATCAGCCACCAAATCACCGCAAAACCCAACCAAGATAGAAGGAAACTTAAAATGAAGCACAATAGCGTCCAACGCCATTGTGTGTCCACCAGAGTTGTGAAGATGTCTTGTAGAAAACGTAGCGATCGTCGGGAAATGCGTGATTGCAATACATTGCAATCGCCATTTTTCAGGACGGCGCGACGACGCAACTTCCGCGTCGGTCCAGCCCGGTATCGACTCCTGAAATATGGATATACGATTTCGTTCAAATATATTGAAGTAAATTATTTCTCTAATAATTTATGTAATTTTTATATGTTAAAAGATCATTAAGTAAACACTTGGCGTGCCTGGATTGCATTAATTAATAAAATGTGTAATATATAAAATGCGGGCACGTAAAGTTTTTGCTTCACTATGATCTCATTGGTCACTTTAAGCCTGTTTTATGAAACTTAAAATTATTTGGAAAGACAATGGCATTAAACTTTTGCTACATATACTTTTGGATGGTTTAAACGGTTTATTAAAAAAATATTTTTATTTTTACGTCTAATCAAATACTAGGCAACTTGTGTAATCTCATATTTGTTTTTGGACAACTTTTATTTGTTAAAATAATATTTTTGGTTCAAGAAAGATGTAACGTACAATACTTTTTTATATACTTGGCGTAAACTTTTTCTTTTTTTAATTAGAACATATTAAAACTGTTATTAGAATATATTGTTGCAAAGTAGATTAAATATATACTGTTAGATATTAAAATTATATTACCAAGGAAGATATTAAAATGAAATTTATGTGATATATTATTTATAATATATGAGGTGTTTAGAAATATAACTTGGTATTCTTATTAGAAAATACCGTTTTTATTTCTATTTGGATATAAACGTATGTAAAGGAGTGTCGTGTTTCTGCAAACGCAAGTTTATTTACGGATCTTTATTAATTTCTCTCATTAATTATTGAAAAAATCGCACAGAACTTTTCTATTCACAGAAAGTTTAATCTATCTGCAATGCATAAGAGGGCTGTGTCAATAATTATCAGAACCCAGCATACATATTTTACACACGCACACACACACGCACACACGCACACACGCGCGCACGCGCGCACGCGCGCACGCGCACACGCGCACACGCGCACACGCGCACACGCGCACAGAGAGAGAGAGAGAGAGAGAGAGAGAGAGAGNGAGAGAGAGAGAGAGAGAGACGNGAGAGAGAGAGAGAGAGAGAGAGAGAGAGAGAGAGAGAGAGAGAGAGAGAGAGACATAAAATTCAAAATAAATTTCGAATAAACGTTGGATAATAGTTTTGAAATACAAAAGAAATTATGAAAAATACTTCAGGCTAACACTAAAATCCTCAACTTGTTTATTTGTTTAATAATAACAATTAAATTGTATTTTCAGTTAACATTTTAATGTATATTTCTATTTGTTTCTGTCTGTACTCACCACGGATCTCTGTGCATTGTTCGTCATCATTCTTGCACTTTGACATAATAAATTCAAAGCGTTATAAAATGTTTTGTGATAAAAACTCTGATATGTTTCGTAATCGTATTATTATTCACAAATGTACTTCGTCCAACATATTTTCTAATTATAACTAAATATATCATCACAGAGACTCTAGATTTCTAGATTTCTAGAAACTTATATATTAATCTTGATATAATGAACCATTTATATAAATGATTTTAATACAAATATAAAATGAATTATTTATATGTACCTATTAATTGTTTCACTATAAATATTTAAATCTTGATATAACATCATAACTTTCTATTCCTTCATATTCATGAATTAGATACTTATAATGCATTAATAGTGGTACAATAGGTATTAAACAGAATGTCTGGAAATTTACTGTTTATAGTTGTTTATACAAAATATCACTGTTAGCAATTCGACACTGCAGAGAAGACTCTCTCGGGGAACTTGATCTCTCTTTACTGACATATACTAATAGGAAGTCCCCATTTTAACTTTGAACGATAACTACGCAGCTGTTATCTACCAATTTACTTATTGCCACGCATTAATCACTTCCGCCGTCTCCTCCGGGTCAATGATACTTTCTGTTTAACTGATTGTATATAAATTATTTTTGATATTTATATTTCTTTCATGAAATTAATAAATTTTGTTGGAATTATTATGAGTATTATTTTTAATATATGTATAACGATGATTAATCTGAAATTATACGGCAATACAAAAGGCATAATTACGAAAATAAATCATTAATTTATTGATGATTAATTTGGAATTAGCCAACAATACAAAAATATATAATTATTTTATTCAGTCTTTCATTTTAAAACTGCGCGCGCGCGCGCACGCACAAAGAAAAGTATAAATTTCTGCAAAAAATACCTTAACAATTTTTAAAAATGATATATTTTGAACAGTACAATGTATAGGATTCGCAATTTTAACCAAAAATTTATAAATATGAACGGTGAGTACGAGTTGACGTGGTAATTGGTGCGCAAAAATGACTTGACAGCAATTGATTGACAAGAACGAAATTTTAATTATCTTTGAACATTTTGACTCTTTCTTGAAATCATTTTTAGTAAATGATAAAAAATAAGATATTCAACCGAATAATACAATTATATTTTGAAATACTTATTTGTTTAAAATACTTGTAAAAATTATTGTATAAAATCCAAATTTATATTATGTTCATGTAGAGTTATCTGGAATAATGTAAAATTATCTGGTAATTTACGGGATGAAATTACACTTTAATATCTCATTTTAATATGTTATCCTTTATGAGCGATTTATCTGTGTGACCTCGAACGATCTATCATTAAGATACCGTTGTGGATCTCTGTCTCTTATCGAGCATCACAAGATGTTGATAAGAATAGCAGTTGAACAATAGACAAATATTAGCCATTTCTGGAATGTTTTGCAAAATTTGAAATTCTTTATGAGCCAAAGTCAGACATTATTATTATATGATATTAATAAAGAACAAGCAAATGTTAGCAAATTCTATGCATAATGTGTTCATGTATAAGTATATATAATGTTTATTAAAATAAAAGCAGCCATTGCAGCATAGTAAATAAGATGCAAAATGGAACTTAAAATAAAGAATTTAAATAAAGAAATTCAGATGAATACTATCAGCCAAATCGTATAAACGTATTGTTGAAGAACACTTAGATAACAGCCAAAACTCATACTATGTAATTATAATTATATAATTATATAACACTTCAAAGATTTTATCGCATAAATATTGTGCTTATCTGTACTTGAATATTTATATTTATATATTTTTTAAGTATTTTCTGTAAACAAGAACCACTCTCTATTTTATTTATTTTGGTATTTGAAAGGAAAAATTTAGAGTTGTTTAATATTATATACGTGTATATATTCATTTTTATATATGTACATATTCATAATGTAATTTAATATTTATAACAATTAAATTATAAATTTGTGTTTGTGCTTTTTATAAAAGTTATTTTTTACGTAAAGATCAAATTCCTTTTTCTATTTTATCATATATAAATTAATTAAACGTGTATAACACTACTCTTTGATAATAATTTTTTATTAGAATTTTTATTACGATAAAATTCTTTTTAGTCTGTTATAAAAGAAACCGATGTTATCTTATGCTTCGTCATCATCACGTTGTCGTGAAGAATGCAATGATTATATATTTTTTCACGCACCGTGCAATAATGATTATGAAAAATATTTATAGCGGTTTTTTAGTAAACAAGATTTTTTATTTATAGATGAATACAAATATCTATTTACAAACATGTACAAAAAGAACTTCTTATTTATCATGAAAGTTACTATAAACATTACCTTAAGAAGGGTTTATGGATAAAGTCTGCAACTTTTAATTATTTTGTAAAAAAGTTAATACTATATTTATAAAGATTTATTTACATTATTAATTTATTTTTATTAGAATTACTCGTATAGTATTTTGTTCCTAAATTTGCTTTGAGTCCTTATTATTTTCTTTATTTTCTGCTTGTTACAATAATATAATGTTATGGTAGAGAAAATTGTCATAAATATCTTAATCTTAATATAAACATATAAATTTTCAGGACAAAATAGTTTAAATTACTAAAAAAATATCTTAAAATATGTCCCAATTTATTTACATATAGAGTGTTCTATTATAATTCTTATAAACAGATTAAAAAGAAACATCACATTCAAGAGAGAAAAAGAAAATGATTAAAAAGACATATATTATTTTAATTATTTATAAGAAGCAAATGTTGATTTTTTCTGTACCAATGAATGGCTTTCCAAACTTGTAATTTATGTTACAGTTTTCCATTTTTAAAAGAAATATAAATCTTATGTTCCAACATATTTAAAAAGCGATGTCGAAATGTGTTAATTATCATGCCATATACATAATATATTCATGGCAAAAAAATTGCATTGTATAAACGGTTTAGCAATTGCATTAATAACCTAATAACATTGCTGTTCGTAATACTTTCATTACAAGTTTTAATTTTGTAATTAACAATATAAAATTAGAAAAAAATCTGTATATTTTTCAGATAATAATAATGAAAAAAAATCCAAACGTGTTTCATTCGTTTTACCTGTATTTTAAGGAAGAATACGGATTCTTTGTCACTTGCACAATCATCGGCGTTGTTGGCGTAATCGGTGGTATTAGTTTTTGTTCTTCTCCGTAATCCAGCGATGGAGATTTGTCACCCATCTTTAATACATTGCCATTTATCCCGTTCATGACTCACTATACTGTACAATGTTAGTCTCAGTACCGAATAACTTCTTTAATAGTGAAGCAACTATAAATGTAGTCTGTTTAAAGTGTTTAGAATAAACATTTCTATGCAGTATTCAACATTTATGTTCTTGTATATTCTTGTATTAAGTATATTTATCTTATAAAAAATTCGGGGTTCTTAAAAAGTTCCATCCTTCACTTTTGATCGTTATTTCTTCAATTAATTTTAATCTACAATATTCTAATGTTTTAAAATTCGTTTTGCATATTTCCTTTTATCAAATTTCTTTGTTTCCACAAAGATATTCAAAATAGTTTATAATAGATACTCATTTTTTATTGTTGATTGTTGCAAATTTTCATTTCAAAAACGTTTTAAATAGTTTTTTAACGTAAAGAACACATATGCAGTTGTTGATGAATATATCTTCAGTTCATGTGTGCTTCCTTTTTCTTTAAATTTCTTTTTTATGTATATTTATGGTATTCTAAAGTTGTAAAAATGTTTTTAAAAATTTCACAGATTTCTCTTCTTCAATCAGTTTTAATTTGGATACAGACGCTTAGAATTGACAATGAGATCTTTAACATTCTTCTATTGAATTTTTTCTCTTCACTGAAATATAAACTTTCCATGTAATTATTCTTCACTTTTAATCTTTATAAATCGTGATTCTTTACTTCAACTATAAAGTCAGTGTTTTTTAATTAGTCTTTTAATTTGCACTTATTGATAATAAATCTTCTTAGACAATTCGATCAATTGGGTGACGCGCGTTTCGATTGACAAAGATGGATGTGATGGAATGTCTACCATTGGAAGATAAACTGCCGCGAGTGGTCATCTGCGATCTTATATATATAGCACATACTGACCATCTAGCACTATTTATCGGTCGCTAACAAAACGTTATTTGTTCTTCCTATTCTTGCGCAGAAAAGGTGATTCGACTCGCGTCGATTACGTCATTCACGATGAACAGATGGGTTTTTGCTTTCGGCAAATTTGACTTTCTAACAAAGTCTTAATATAGTAATCACATAATTATTATCATTTATTCTATTATATTCAAAATAAATAATACCGCTCTTATAAATATTTTCTAATAATTAAATATTTATGTCATGTGAAAATGACATAATTTTCTATAAAAGTCTGTTTTAATTATTTTGCAGTTTTTGATGTTAGAGTTTGAAAATCGATTTATGGAAAAACAATATCATAAGAAAAAGTAAAAACTGATATAATAACGTTTTATAATATCTAAATAGAATATGATGTTATAGAAACACACGACATTTGTTTGAAGTATTTAACTCACACTTAAAAAAATCTTATTAATAATATATCTGTATATTTTTAATTGCATATGCTGTAGTGTTTTTCACTTTTTCTTTTTCTTCTTGTAATATAATTAGTAGTCACATGATCAGTAATAGTCATATGATGTAGGTTGTCATACTATCCGTCACACAAGATATACAAGGTGGACTGAAATATCAATATACATGGTGATCAGAAATTATTAAGGATTTAAATATTAAAATGCATACAGTAATTAACAGTCGTTAACGTTGAAGATATTTTTTAATTTATAGTTTTCAATTATATCTATTTCGTCTTTTTAAAAAATACAGATTAAATAAATTATTATAAATATAAATTATATAAAAATTTGATAGTAAATTTACCATTTTGCAGCATTTAACGAAATTATTAATTTGGTGTTATTAATTTCATACTATTTACTAATTAAAACTTAAAAAAAATATTAATGATTATCGTAAAATTTAGAATTAAAACAAACGATCGAGACTGATGAAGAAAGATGAAAACAACTGCGCGATTCTCGTTCGACTGACTGACTGACGTCGCGTACTTCTTATCGGTGTCTTGGCATCTCGTTATCAGAATCTGACTGGCTGTTGAAATTGTGTTGATGTATGCAAAACTTGTCCAGACAAAATGTTATTTGTTGCTTCTTGGAGAAATATTACAAATTATTAAATTTCTTTTATATATATATATATATATATAATATATGTATAAAATATATATATATATATA